GAGGGCAAAACGGGGGGAAATTGTGTCCAACCGGCCAATGTTGCAGCCAATGGGGATGGTGCGGCAATTCAGACGATTACTGTGGACAGGGTTGCCAGAGCCAATGCCACGGTACTTAATCACACACACACACACATATATATATATATATATATATATGTATTTTGTAAAAATTTTGCAAAATATGTGCCCCTCGACGCACGTCCTAAAAAATGGAGACAGACAATACCACGTAAGCTACCACATAAAATTAGATAAAAAAGATAGTAAATAATAAAAATAACAATATAATAATAATAACGATAATAAAAGAAAAATATAAACGTATCTTACACATGATATATACATATATATATATACATACCAGAACCGTTCCAACCATTTTCGGGACCCTATACAAAAAAAATATTTATTTTAATTTTAAATTTTAATTTTAATTTAAAAAAATTAAATATAATGTTTATAAATATTATTAAAATGTTAATAACAATCATTGTGATAATAGTAATATTATTAGAAATAATAAATAATCATATTATATAATTAAAAGATATAAAAAATTATATTTTAAAGATTTATCATTTTTAAAAATAAATATTTAACATGAATGATATGATATAAAAAAAATAATTTTTTTAATAATTGGAGTTAAAAGATCAATATTATTCTAGGATAATATATATTTTATTTTAGATTTATAAAAAAAATTATAATTATAAACTATATTAATTAATAAATTTAATGATATTAATATAAATAAATTGTGAATTTCATATATGGTGATTACATATAACTCAAAATATTTATTAATTGATTATTACGACAAATGATTTCGAAAAAATGATCTTAATTTTATATTAAATACTATAAATTTATAAAAAAAAAAATATTTTTTAATGGGCTCATTTGAAAAAGTGTAAAAAAAATATTTTTAAGTGAATTAAACAAAACTTAAAAAATTTGTTTTTTTAATTTTTTTTAATAAATAGTACTGTTAAATTATAAATATAATAATTTTAAAAAAAATGTGGGCCTCACCCTAATTATGGGTCCTGTACAAATGTTCCAGTTGTACATGCTCTAAGACGGCCCTGATACATACTAGGGATGGGCACAAGTGTGAACACATACTTAAAAACTTAAAAAGGTATTTGGATTTGTATCCATAAGATTTGGGTATCTTATTTTAAGATTTATATTCAGGATTTATAGTTTACAAGTATCCAGAATAATGTTTAGGTATTTTGCGGATATTGGATACGGATTATTTTTTAAAAAATAACAATATTTATGTATAAAATTTTTAAAAAAATAAAGATATATCTATAAATATGGATGGATTACGGTAAAAGTATAAAATAGAGAGAGATAATAAGAGAAATAATAATAAATTTAATTTTTGGGAGATAATATTGAGAAATGTGAAATTATTTAGCTAAATAATTATATTTTGAAAATATTATATAGATATAGGATATAATTATCTATTATAAAACTAGTCGAGTATTTGCGGATATCCGTTTTTAAAAATTCTATTATCTGAATTTAGATTTGGATTCATGGGTATTCGAATATTCGAATTTAAATTTAGATTTGGATAGCTTTGAGTTCTCTAAAATCGAATATCTACGGGACGGGTATCGACGAATACCCGATTTTAGAGTATTTGTGTTCACCCTTAATACATACAAATATACATATATATATATATACACATATACATACATATATATATGTATACACATATATATACATATATACCTATGTATATAATGTGAATAATGATTCATTTTAATAAAAAGTATAAGAAAAATGAAGTTTTTTTCTTCCGGAGGTATTAATAATATCTCATAATTGATAAATTTGCCTTCAGTTGAACAATGTGGGTGGCAAAACGGGGGAACATTGTGTCCAAATGGCAAATGCTGCAGCCAATGGGGATGGTGCGGAATCTCGAACGCTCATTGCGGGGAAGGATGCCAGAGCCAGTGTCACATCGCTTCTCCTCGATCTCCACCGCCAGTTTCTAAACTGATATCAAGATCGCTGTTCGAACAAATGCTTCATATACATATATGTATGTACATATATATCTCTGTATATATATATATATATATGTATATCTATGTATATATATCTATAGATAGTAGCGGACAAAAAAATTAATTGGGGTATGTGGATATTGTAATGTATATATAACCTAAGAAAAAAATGTGATGAAAAAGTAAATTATAGAAGACTTTTTTTAAATCACGGGGGCATGTGATCCGACTGTTTATAAAGTGAGTCTGCCCATGTATATAGATATTTATATCCATATACATATATATGTATGTATGTGTATATATATATATATGTATGTGTATATGTATGTAAATTTGTATATGTATGTGTGTATATATATATATATGACTTAGTATAAATACAGAGTTTGTCGACAAGGAAAAAATACATGATTTTTTGTCGATATTCTCTAAATATAAGTAAAAAAAATGAAGTCCTTATGATAAATCTGTCTTCAGCCAAAAAATGTGGATGGCAAAACGGGGGGAAATTGTGTCCAAACGGCCAATGTTGCAGCCAATGGGGATGGTGCGGCAATTCAGACGATTACTGTGGACAGGGTTGCCAGAGCCAATGCCACGGTACTTAATCACACACACACACACATATATATATATATATATATATATGTATTTTGTAAAAATTTTGCAAAATATGTGCCCCTCGACGCACGTCCTAAAAAATGGAGACAGACAATACCACGTAAGCTACCACATAAAATTAGATAAAAAAGATAGTAAATAATAAAAATAACAATATAATAATAATAACGATAATAAAAGAAAAATATAAACGTATCTTACACATGATATATACATATATATATATACATACCAGAACCGTTCCAACCATTTTCGGGACCCTATACAAAAAAAATATTTATTTTAATTTTAAATTTTAATTTTAATTTAAAAAAATTAAATATAATGTTTATAAATATTATTAAAATGTTAATAACAATCATTGTGATAATAGTAATATTATTAGAAATAATAAATAATCATATTATATAATTAAAAGATATAAAAAATTATATTTTAAAGATTTATCATTTTTAAAAATAAATATTTAACATGAATGATATGATATAAAAAAAATAATTTTTTTAATAATTGGAGTTAAAAGATCAATATTATTCTAGGATAATATATATTTTATTTTAGATTTATAAAAAAAATTATAATTATAAACTATATTAATTAATAAATTTAATGATATTAATATAAATAAATTGTGAATTTCATATATGGTGATTACATATAACTCAAAATATTTATTAATTGATTATTACGACAAATGATTTCGAAAAAATGATCTTAATTTTATATTAAATACTATAAATTTATAAAAAAAAAAATATTTTTTAATGGGCTCATTTGAAAAAGTGTAAAAAAAATATTTTTAAGTGAATTAAACAAAACTTAAAAAATTTGTTTTTTTAATTTTTTTTAATAAATAGTACTGTTAAATTATAAATATAATAATTTTAAAAAAAATGTGGGCCTCACCCTAATTATGGGTCCTGTACAAATGTTCCAGTTGTACATGCTCTAAGACGGCCCTGATACATACTAGGGATGGGCACAAGTGTGAACACATACTTAAAAACTTAAAAAGGTATTTGGATTTGTATCCATAAGATTTGGGTATCTTATTTTAAGATTTATATTCAGGATTTATAGTTTACAAGTATCCAGAATAATGTTTAGGTATTTTGCGGATATTGGATACGGATTATTTTTTAAAAAATAACAATATTTATGTATAAAATTTTTAAAAAAATAAAGATATATCTATAAATATGGATGGATTACGGTAAAAGTATAAAATAGAGAGAGATAATAAGAGAAATAATAATAAATTTAATTTTTGGGAGATAATATTGAGAAATGTGAAATTATTTAGCTAAATAATTATATTTTGAAAATATTATATAGATATAGGATATAATTATCTATTATAAAACTAGTCGAGTATTTGCGGATATCCGTTTTTAAAAATTCTATTATCTGAATTTAGATTTGGATTCATGGGTATTCGAATATTCGAATTTAAATTTAGATTTGGATAGCTTTGAGTTCTCTAAAATCGAATATCTACGGGACGGGTATCGACGAATACCCGATTTTAGAGTATTTGTGTTCACCCTTAATACATACAAATATACATATATATATATATACACATATACATACATATATATATATATACACATATACATACATATATATATATATACACATATACATACATATATATATATATACACATATACATACATATATATATATATACACATATACATACATATATATATGTATACACATATATATACATATATACCTATGTATATAATGTGAATAATGATTCATTTTAATAAAAAGTATAAGAAAAATGAAGTTTTTTTCTTCCGGAGGTATTAATAATATCTCATAATTGATAAATTTGCCTTCAGTTGAACAATGTGGGTGGCAAAACGGGGGAACATTGTGTCCAAATGGCAAATGCTGCAGCCAATGGGGATGGTGCGGAATCTCGAACGCTCATTGCGGGGAAGGATGCCAGAGCCAGTGTCACATCGCTTCTCCTCGATCTCCACCGCCAGTTTCTAAACTGATATCAAGATCGCTGTTCGAACAAATGCTTCCTCACAGGAACAATCCCGCTTGTTCAGCTAGAGGGTTCTACACTTACGACGCTTTTCTCAAGGCCGCCAGTTCGTTCCCAGGCTTTGGCACCACTGGCGATGAAGCCACCCGCAAGAGGGAGATCGTCGCCTTCTTTGGTCAGACCTCCCATGAGACTAACGGTATATTTGTAACTTCTACAGTAGTTAAATTTCAAATGTTTACCTTATAACTATGAATGAGAATGAAAAAATGTATAACGGGATAACAGGAGAAGAGCCAACCGCGCCAGATGAACCATACGCGTGGGGATACTGCATCAAGGAAGAGGTCGAGCCATGGTCCGACTACTGCGAACCCGGTAGCAGCCGGTGGCAATGTGTTCCTGGCAAACGCTACTTCGGCAGGGGTCCCTTTCAACTCAGCTGGTTCCACCACTTCTCTACTTACACACAAATATATACACATATCAAGAGATGATGCCCTTTTCTTGTTTTTATGTTCTTTGCTTATACTTTTGACTGCATGTTGACGTAAAGGAACCACAACTACGGACCATGCGGAGAAGCCCTAGGCTTGGACTTGCTCGGAAACCCCGACCATGTGGCCAACGACAGTGTCATTTCCTTCAAAACGGCCCTATGGTTTTGGATGACGCCACAAGCCCAGAAACCCTCATGCCACGAAGTTATAACCAGCAAGTGGGTGCCATCAAAAAATGACGTCAGAGCGGGAAGACTTGCTGGCTATGGAGCCATCACCAACATCATCAATGGAGGGCTCGAGTGCGGGATCCATGAGGATGCTCGAGCCAGGAGCCGCATCGGCTTCTACAAGAGGTACTGTGATATTCTTGGGGTGACTCCTGGCGACAATCTTGATTGCGACAACCAGTTGCCTTTCGGGTTTGGTCCGTCGTTGGACGCTACTGTCTGAGCGACAAAGTATTCTCTTAACGTACGGGCCGCATATATGTATCCTACCTCAACAAATTAATGAATAAAATCGTACTGTTATGGTATGGAGAGTTTATATATATGAATGGGGCGTACACATTAATATTTTTCGTCTTTAGTTTAGAATTATTTATTCTATAAGGAATTACATATCGTAGGGCTGCTAACAAAAGAATATTATTGGCTAGAATACTGCATCAAAATTGATATTTTTTTCCTTAGAAATAGATGATAATCTGTGATATAAGAGCTGTTTATCAGCCATAGAGAATGCTCGAGTCCGCTAACTCCATCAGAGGCTATGCCCTCGGCAGTACAATGGTACCATTCGAGGATCTCAAAGTCAATAATGCATGTTTGAGACACATCTAATTCAAACAAAGCTGTGGATTAAAAGATATAAAAAATTATATTTTAAAGATTTACCATTTTTAAAAATAAATATTTAAAATGAATGAAATGATATAAAAAATAATTTTTTAATAATTGGAGTTAAAAGATCAATGTTATTGTAGGATAATATATATTTTATTTTAGATTTATAAAAAAATTATAATTATAAATTATATAAATTAAAAAATTTAATATAAATAAATTATGAATTTAATATATGATGATTACATATAACTCAAAATATTTATTAATTGATTATTACGATAAATGATTTGGAAAAAAAAGGTCTTAATTTTATATTAAATACTATAAATTTATTAAAAAAAATTATATTTAATGGGACTCACATCATTTGAAAAAGTGTAAAAAATATTTTTAAGTGAATTAAATAAAACATAGAAAATTTGTTTTTTTAATTTTTTTAATAAATAGTACTTATAAATGATAAATATAATCATTTTTTCAAATATATGAGTTCTACCCAAATTATGATCCTGTACAAATATTCCCGTTATACATGCTCTAAGACGGCCCTCCATGAATATTAGAGTTGTGTATTATTTTAGAGTCTCGCATGATAAACAGGATTAATATGAGAGAGAAAATAGAAAGGTAATAAGGAAAATCAATATTTATAAAAAGATTTAGATGAAGCGAGTTACACAAATGTACACCTTGAAGTGAAAATAGTAAAATATAGATATTTTTGATAATTTTCTTTATCCCATTCGTAAGCGAGAAATAAAAGAAAAAAAAATCTCCGATAGCCCACGGAAAAGAAGCGAAGACGACGCGCCATAGAGAGCGTGTTTTAAGGGAAGCGCGTGGAGGGGGCAAGTGGGAGAAGCTTACACACCTCTGTTTCTTTCTTTAGTATTTTAAAAAATAAAATAAAAATAAAGAAACATTAACTCGTGCCTGACGCGGACACGGTATTAGGCGATGACTTGTTTTTAAAGCATTTAAAAACACCGTTTAATTCCAATTTTTTTTGTCCTATTTGCCAATGGTCTCCAACTGTCCAAATGGAACTAGAAGATCGTGTGCGATATTTTCTTTTTCTTTTTCTTTTTATTAACAAATTGTTGAAAATATTTAAGGATGTTGTGAAGTTGCGATGAAAGTATACTTTTTATAGTTTTATCGTACCATCGTACGAAACTGATGTTATTTAATATTAGCTTTAAGGCCTTACTTCTTTGAAACAAATATTCCAATAAATAAATAAATCTAGAATACTACAAAAGAAAAATCCACACCATAAATCTATAAAGTATGATATTTCACAAAAGAAACGGAAATAATAGTCTTCGATACAAATAAATTTCTCTGGGCGAGGTTGTATGATATAAATATTTTATATTTTTAAAAATTATGATATATTTTCGAACCCACGTTGACCATTACCTTGTAAAAAAATGATATATAACTTGCATGGGGATATATCAATATAATATCATAGGAAAGATATACCTTTCTGGAGGTTATTTTCGATTTAAAAAAGAATGATTTCTACAATGTGATTCTTAATCGGAATTAAAATATTTTTAAAATTCGATGGTAGTACTATATTAATGATAAGCATTTTTATACGATGTTTTGATATAGAATATCTAATATATTTTACTCATTTTTGTATATTTATAGGTATTTTAAAGTGTATTTGGTTCTGATACTAATTGTTTTTTTTTTTTAAGTAGAAATTCATACATAAAAAAATATATAAAAGAGTAAAAATATGATTTTGGAGCATGACGAACGAAATGGATGTATTTAGAATTGTTACGGAGAAAAACATGAAGATTCGAGAAATCGAGTCTAATAATTTCTACCACACAAATCTAGATAATGATTGCTATATGTCATTAGAAAGAGCTTTTGAAAAGGCTATCATAGACATCAAACTTAAGTAAATCCGATATTAAATCAGAAAGTTACAAACGAAATTGTAAAGCCCATCAAAATGTTCAAAGAGCACAAACGATCGTTCGTGTATATACGAACGATCGATCATATTGTAAAACCTTCCAAAATCTTTATTAATCAGGGGAACGATCGATCGATCACTCCCAATCGTTTAAATCAATCATAAGAACACAAACATAATATATTTAATGAAAAATTCCAAAAAAATAAGAAAATTTATAATTTTTAAAAAAAAAACCTGAACTCTATATTTTTCCAAATAAATTCTTATCTTTTTTAAATACAAAGACGAGAAACATTTTTTATATATGTGTACTGCTTCCTCCGACCTAAACCCTAAACTACAAACTTAAGAAACACTAGGAGAGAATCGCGCGATGCGCGGTTTATTCTTTTGTATTGTTATTAATTTAAAATGTTTACGTTTTTAGTAAAGATTATATTATTAAATCATTATATATATATATATATATATAAAGGAATGAATAAATGAAAGAATTTTAATATTATTGTACTATTATCATATAAAATCATTATTAGTTGAATAAGTTTGTTACAGATATTTTTCATAATCAAATGCATATTTAGACAATGTAATTGTAATATATGTATTAAATAAATAAAATATTATTCGTTTTCAAATTTTGCAATGTTATAAAACAAATGGTAAATAGAATATTGAACATAGTGTAATAAATATGTACTAAATATTAATAGAAATATTTTCCGTTTTAGATGTATCATATATTATCTTTTTCATTATCACGTTTAAAAATAATAACTGATAAATTTGTTTAATATAAAATTTTAAAATTTTGGATAACATATAATTTTTTAATAATTGGAGTTAAAAGATCAATGTTATTCTAGAATAATATAGATTTTATTTTAGATTTATAAAAAAATTATAATTATAAACTATATTAATTAATAAATTTAATGATATAAATATAAATAAATTATGAATTTAATATATGGTGATTATATATAACTCAAAATATTTATTAATTGATTATTATAACAAATAATCAATGTCGGAGAAAATGGTTTTAATCTTATATTAAATAATATAAATTTATAGAATAAAAAATTATTTTTTAAAAATAGGGACCCATCTCATTTGAAAAAGTGTGGAAAAAAATATTTTTTAAGTGAATTAAACAAAACTTAAAAAATTTGCTATTTTAATTTTTTAATAAATATTATTTGTAAATTATAAATATAACAATTTAAAAACAATGTGAGCCCCATCCAAGTTGTGGGCCCTGTGCAAATGCTCCACTTGTACCTACTCTAGTTTTTGAGATTTGATCAGAATAAATAAAAGGGGTTATTAGTTTCATGTTTTGGCCAAAAAAATCGAAAATTCATCATACTTTTGATTAGGGCTGGGTATTCCGGTTCGGTTCTTCAGAACCGGACCGAATCAAACCGTTAAAACGGTATTTTTTCCGACCCAAAACCGCTGTTATTTCCCGAACGGTACCATTTTTAGAGAACCGAATTTTCCCAGAACCGAACCGAACCGAACTTTAAAAATCCCGAAAAACCGAATATTTTTAAAGAAAATCTATCATTTATTTAATAAAACCCAAAACCGAACCGAACCGATACCGAAACCGAACCGAACCGAATACAATAAATAACCCGATTGGTACATATTTTTGTAAAACCAAAAGAACCGAACCGATTTATTCCGTCCCGAACCCGAACCGTTTCCCGAAATGCCCATTCCTACTTTTGATCATGACAAAATCTTTCAGAGAATCGAAAAAGTTCAAGTGAATAATTATTTGTAGGTGAAAACTCCAGTCGGATTGTAGATTGAAAACAAGAGAGTTTTATATAACGAAGATAAAAAAAAAAAGTGGTAATTTTTTTGTGTGTTTTTATATATTTTTTTTCACAAAAAGATTGAACATTTGATGGGTTATTTCATATTCAAAAGACCCACCTAAAATTTTCTATAACATTGTAATGCCTTTTTCCCTTTTGTTTTACATTTTTTTCTTTTTATTTTTCCTTTATTTTACATTAAAGGGAAGTCACTACATCCATATCCCCGTTTTGATTCATTTGCAACTTGATTATTTTCAATCCAAATTTTAGGATTTCAAAAACTCCCCCTTTTTTTAGTTTCTTTTAACGAATGCGTTTTAATTTTATTCTAATTCTATTCATATTCAATTTTTATATAAATTATTTTATTTTGAAACATTTTCTCTTCGTATAGATTCATTTATTTTAATTTTAAAAATACTCTATCTATTTTTATATTATAGTGTTTTTTAATTTTTAAAAAAATAATTAATATAAATCTAAAATGTGATCAATTTATTAGTTTAGAATTGAGTAGAAAAACTTTGTGTAGATTTAATTAATTTTTTTTAGAGATCATTGATTGAGTTGAGCATATGAAAAATAGTATATTTTAATTGGATTTTGAAAATCTATAATCTAGTAACAAAAGTTTTTTCTAGAATATATTAAAACCATTAATTATACAACTTATTCTTAACATATCATATTGAGATAGAAATAGAATTTAAAATAAAAAATAAAAACAAACCCAAACTGATATATATATATATATACATATATGTGTGTGTGTATATATATATGTATATATGTAAAAGGTAAACAGATTTAAATGGGTCAACCACTTTCCCTTTCATGGCACCTTCATAGTGCAAGCGTGGGACCTCAAGATCCACTTTCTTCACGTCAAATTTTCTTTTCTATTTTTTAATATTTCTTTAGATAGGATCAAAACTATTGTCCAATTACATTTGAAAATTCCAAACAAGACGACAAAAAAAAATTAATATTTTTTTTGGTGAGATGGGACCATACAATACATCATTCATCCACATGCTTAGTCCAACTTCAATCATAAAATATCATTCTTTGGACTATAAAACACTGTTAATTAAATAAAGGATAAAACCCCTAAAAAAACCTCCAACTTGTAAAAATATATACAAATAAACCTTCAACTTAAAAATATGTCATTCAATCCCCGAACTTGTAACTTATCACTGAATAAAACCTCGAACTTGTAAATTATTGCTCTAATAAACCTTTGACCAGTTTGACCACAATTTCAGACGATCGAAAATCCACGTTTTAACGAATTGTTGATGTCACCTTATACACGTTATCAATTTTAATTTAAAAAAATGACATCAGCAATCCGTCAATACGTAGATTTCCGATCGTTTGAAATTGTGGTCAAACCGGTCAAAGGTTTATTAGATCAATAATTTGCAAGTTCGAGGTTTTATTCAGTGGCAATTTACAAGTTTGGAGATTGAATGACAGCTTTTCAAATTGAAGGTTTATTTGTATATATTTTTGCAAGTTGAAGATTTTTTAGGAGTTTTATCCATAAATAAAATATCCACAAAAGCAATGTTGTAAATATATCCACTGCAACATATTTGCAAAAAAAAAAATTAAAATTTAGGAAAAAAAGGGTAAGTGGTCAAAGTCCAAAACAAAAGGGGAACATATCTCACCCCACACTTCAATGGCAGAAGAAAAGAAGAGAGAGAGTCAAAGATTCCATTCCATGGCCATTAATTTAATTACAATCAATTTTACTTTTCTTCTCCATCTACTTTTTCAACTGCATTTCTTTAAAAAAAAATGGACATAATTAAATTTAAATTTTTATAATTTTTTCTTATATAAAGATTTTCTCATTTCCTTCTCAATTCCTTTGCACTTCCATAAATTTAAATTTATATAAAGATTTTCTCATTTCCTTCTCGATTTCTCTGCACTTCCATCTGTATCCAACAGTCACTGAAACCAGTTCGGTTCCATCCATCCATACATACATACATACATACATACATACATATATATATATATATATATAGATGAATCTTGAATGCAAAGTTGCTAACTTTTCCATGAAGTATAACCCATTATGTGATCGAAGAGAAGTGAATTGAAATCATATAAACTTTTTTTTGTTAAAAAAATCATATAACCTTTTCACTTCACATAATCGAATCGACGATTTAACCTCGGTGTTGCATTTGCAAATATTACACATCATCATCACCATCATCATCATAAACATCATCACCATCATCGAATCACGCATATGAGCCAAAAAAAAATTGAAAAACTTCTTGGGAGAAAAATGAAGGGCTCGTACCAACTCAAGACGTAGAAGAACCTGAAGAAACACGAGGGGAAGTCACCGGAAAAAGAGGGAGAAGCCGCGGCTCCGACTCCCTCGGCGTCGTCGCCGGCGAAGGATGCAAGAAGAACCCTTTTTCTTTAATGGCTCTCTCTTCCAAATCAGCACCCGATTTCGATGTAAAATCGGTATTGACGACGAACCCAGATTCGTTCGGGCTCTGATTCGACGACCCGGATCGATCAAACGGGTCGGGTATGAGAGGAGTGACCGGACTGAGAACCAGAGCCGGGAAATCCAAGATGCTCGGGGAGAGAATCTCCGGTTTGCGTGGGGAGAAACCGGAATGAACCGAGGAGTAAACCGGGTTGATCTTGAGATTCTTCAACGAGTTGCGACGCTCGTAGAGGCGGAAACCGGGGGAGGACTGTTTCTTGTTGGGAACGGCTTTGATGGGAGGGATCGAGTGAGAGGAGGAGGAGGAAGATGATTTGGGAGGAACCGGGTCGGGTTGGTGGGTCAGGTTAACGGGTCGGGCGAGTTTGGGGGAATCGGAGGAGCCGGTGAGCATCTGAACGACGTGTTTGAAGGAGGAAGTGTCGGCTTGGACGAAGGTTGTCGGATAAGGGTTAGAGGGTTCGGATCTGGTCGAAACGGGTCGGGTCGTGGTTGTGGTCGGAGCGGCGGTGGTGCTGCAGCTGCTACTGTTGTGTCTTGTCGGAGAGGGCAGGAGAAGATTTTGGGGGGCATCTCTGAATCTGGGCGAATTCTCCATTGATGCAGAGCTCTGAGAGAGAGAGAGAGAGAGAGAGAGAGAGATGTGGCGTTGTGGTTTTCGGGGTTTGGTAAGAAATGTTCTGGTGGGGACTCTAATTGGCCCTTTGGTTCTCGCTTTCTTTCATTTACGCTCACGCGCCGTTTGGGGAGAGTGAATCAACGCGCTGACTCTACAAGTACGAAGTTTTAGAAAATGTGGGTGAAATATTGAGATTATTAAGGATTTTTTTTAAATCGTTAATTTAAACTCTTTTGGACACGTCACACGATTATACAAATCCGCAATTATCACACACATATATATATATATATATTATAGTATATAACCAAATCGAGCATTAACTGAATAACAAGTTTTGGATAAAAATAGATCTTTTCCCTGACAATTGATATATTTGATGAAATTATATTTACTATATGTCTAATTCCCTGATTTGGTTAATAGCTCAATAGTCAAACCGATTAGAATAAAAATACCATATAAATTATAATCATATCCCAAATGAATTGTTGTAAAATATAATATTTATATTTTCAACTGAAATATCGAATTATAGAATAAAAAAAGGGAAATTAAAATAATATATCAATTTATCAAATTTAACAAAATAAAATCTGAACCAATTTTTTTACCAAATAAACACTGAACTCTTCTGAATTTTATTGTTTCTTACAAATAAATCCGAATTTTCAAAATTATATCATATTTAACCATTAACATTGAAATGGTAATTCGAAATTCGATTAACGTTAGAATTGATACGTTATCATTAAAAAAGCTATATCGGTGTTGAGAGTTAAATATGATATGATTAAAAGTTCGGATTTATTTATATAAAACACTAAAATTTAGGAGAGTTGGGAATTTATTTGATAAAAAATTTTTAATTTAGATTTTATTTTTGCAAATTTGATATGTAGAGGAAGCAGCATTTATTTATAAAAAGGACGCTAAATCTGATTTACGAACCCACCTGAGATTCCAAGGAGGATAAACATAGGATGGTGGTGGATACCTGGAAATTCCTTTGTTTCTCCACAAATAGAAACAGTTACGTCTGAGATGTCCTTCTTTGCCACAGTGATAACAACTCCTATTTTCTCGACCTCTCCAATTAGTCTTTCTCACAAACTGTCGTGGGTGAGTACTACTTCGTTTGGTTGCAGGTGGCTCTTGACTCAAATTTCCCCCAAACACAAATTTTAGATCAGAACGAAGCCTTATACGTATATGTTGGGCCGTGGATTAGTTGCACCTCTTTAAACTTTTTAGGGTTCATGAATTGGGCCGTACATGTACATCGACCCCCAATATCTTCACATTGAAAAAAAAAATCATAAAGAGGTGGATTCGTATTCGGATCGGATCGGGTCAACCCATTTAATATCTTTTATATTTTTTGTATTTATTTTTAAAAAATATAATCAAGTTTTTAGATCGACGTACAACTTGAATTTTTTTTTCAATGTCTATAAATTCAGTTCTGGATTCGAACCGGACTTTGAATTTCGGACCAAATTTGATACCAAGCTCATACCGTTTCTATTTGTGTGTGTATATATGGAAAAATCATAAAAATATCTTAATTTGTTAATTTATAAAATAAAATCTAAATTTTGCTTTTTGCGAAATAAAACATTAACTTGATTCTTGAGTTATGAATAAACCTAAACTTTATAACACTTTATCATTTTTAAACGTGGCGTCCCGATATTGGAATATACGGATGATGATGGTGTGCCAAATATAGTTAAAATATTAATTTGTCATATAGGATATCGATACGTCACGTCATCATTCAGGTTTAAAAATGATAACAATCATAAAATTCTAATTTATTTCGACTAAAAGAATAAAATTAGGGTTTTATTTGATAAAAACTAAAATTCAGATTTTATTTTATGAAAATTGATTGAAAATTGATAAGTTGAGTTATTTTTTGGGATTCTTCATATATATATATATATATACGGAGAATATAAACATCATGATTAGAGAGAGAGGCCATATCGCAATAATCATGAAGCATCGATCTCACACTTGATCGACCCGCCACAACTTTCCCATGTGAATAGTTATCACGTACACGATTTCCCCATAGCATTCAAATCGACTTATAACCCTCTTGCTTTCCACTGTTTTTGGGCCCTCTAACTTTGGAAAAAGATTATTAAAATGTGTCTGCCACGTGGCCGACCGTTTCACAGCTGATTTCTCGGGATATATATATATTTTATAATTTTAAAAAAAGTAAAATAATAAACAATACGTATGGTAATGACTAAATCATACTGTAAACTGCTAGCGAGTAGCGATTACTAATGTGTATCCGTATGGATCGGCTTGGAGACAGGATTGGTCACAAGTAGGGATGGGCGAACTTCGGTTAATCGATCACGGTTAATTCGGGTTCAGATATTTCGGTTTTTAAAAATTCATAACCAAACGGTTATTTAATTTTATTCGGTTCGATTCGATTCGGGTATATATCGATCGGTTCGGTTAATAATCAAAATACCCGAACCGAATGCCCACTCCTAATCACAAGGGCAATGTGACCCTTATAGTTCATGCTTCTTGCTTTGCTCTTGAACGGGTTTGGACCGTCAATCCGTGACAAAAATAGTTGACGTTCTTTCTGTTTGCTTTACTTTTTTCTATTTTAGTCTCTCTTGGGACTTAAATTCTCTCTTTTTTTGTCGAATTGAAAATTTTTAGAAATTTTATTTCTTAGTTTATTGGGTTTGGTATGTTTTTGGCGGATTTGGTTTTGTTTGGTTCCCGGGTGATGATTTTAGCGTCAGGTTTATGGAAGTCGACGTTCTGGGGTTTTAGGGTTTTCGGCCATTGTTGTCCTGTTGTGAAGCTTTCAACTTAAGTTGCTATCTTTCTCTTCTGGGTTTTATGAGTTATTTGTTCGGGTCATATCTGTTTGAATTCCAATCCCTTTTGGTGTTTCTAGTCAGGTAAGTTTTTATGTCATCTCCCAAAAGTTTCCTAGGTTTTTTATAACTTTATCTACATCGAGTTCCATGGGGATAAACAAAATAATGGAATCGCTATGCATGACAGACTTGGATCATTGTATGTATATATATATATATATATATATATATATATATATAATTCACATGTATTTCAAACCATTCCAAGACCTATCGTCGAATAAATATAATTAATTCCAATTAATATTATGTAAACTCTACATATATAAGATTATATGTGACCTTTCATTAAAAAACATATATATTATATGTAACTTGCTAAAAAATCTATCAATTATCTGACTTGCTAAAAAAAACCTTCTTACTTTAAAAGTTGTTATAAAAATTTATCAACTAATTTTTCAAGAGAAAAAATCAACTATCTAATTTAGTGGAAAAAAATCTTCTATTTTAAATTTATTATAAAACCCCATTAACTTTTAATTTTAAACTAAAAAAATCATATTTATTATTTTAATTAAAAAATATATACATTATCTTTTATATAATTAATTTTAATACAAATTATATATTATATAATATTTCAGTTACTAATTTGTTTTATAAAAATTAGTTTCGAACATCTGAAATATTAATAGATAACAAATATTACCAGTTTTCATATACGATTATGAATTCAAATTATAAAATATATCTAATTTTTAAGTATAACATTTGTACATAAATTTATTATATAAAGAATAATTTATATAAATTATATCATTATAAACATCACAATAAAACCTTAAATATTTATACAAACTTTAAATAATAGTGTAATGAATTTATATAAGTATTGATTTTTTTTATTGCGATACTTAGAATTGTATAGTCTATATACGTTTTTTTTTTTCAAAAATAAAAGATTTTTGTAAAAAGATTAAATAGAATGTGTTTGAAAGTAAGCTAGATTGTTGATTTTTTTTTTCAAAATAAATGATTGATGGAATTTTAAAACAATTTCAACATGAAAAGTTTGTTTTGAGTTGATGGTTTATGTTCAAAAATTAATAATAGTTGATTAAACTTATAAAAAAATTCAAAGTAGACTTTTTTGAAATAAATTAAATTCTCTTTTGTTTTTTTTTAAGTTTATCCCTAAATTGAAAGCAGGTATATGTAAACTCTACGTAACATGAGTGTTGTATACTATCATTCCAAGACATATCGTCGAATAAATTTTTGTTTTTTTGGGTAATCATCGAATAAAATTATTATGTAAACTCTACTATAAAAAGCACTCTCACACGATATTGCAAATCAAAAAATTCTCAAACTGATTCTATTTCTTTGATACGTGTCAAGTACACTTCAATCATTTCCAAGTAGCACTCAACCCACCCAGTTTCACTCCCCCTGAGTAAAACCCCAGTATCACAAGAAATTCTATCAGCCACAAACACTTTGTGTGCAGCGCACACCACGTGTTACCCTAGACCTCGTCTAGGCCAGTGAGCGGTTCGCCTGTTGCTTAAGGCTCCCCCTCAGATCTACCTCACGTTCCCTCAGATATCTCTCACCAGTGTTTCCCGTACATGTGACTCTCACCCAGGTCACAGACTCTGCTTCTCAATAGCAATAATCTCGACAACCTTTCTGTAATGGGGTCTTCGGTATATATAAACTTCTCCAAGTGATTCTCTCAATATCATCCGAATATATGCCTTGCCTTTTCTTGATTGATGTGAATGTCTTCTTTCCTTTTGTTGCTTCTTTCCTTTTGTGCTTTCCATATTCAGCTCCATACTTCCATTTGTTGATTTGAATCTTCTAGATGTTGAATATGCTATTTCCTTGCTTTAACAATCTCTCCCTTTTTGACTTTCTACTTAGACACACTCAAACTCACAGAACATGTAATCGCAATTCATAGCAACCAAGATATGTCTACACATTTGGTACATAACACACATAACCAAGGTCATATCACTAGACAAATTCAGACAGTAAACACACGTAGCATTCAGAACACAGAATTAAGTGAAATCTACTTCAGTAATTTTGAACTACTGTTCACACTCAGTTTACTCTTCCTGATCAGACTTAGTCGCAGCGGAATGTTGATCTTAGCATCTGAAACTGATCGAACCTTATTTTCCATTTTCTCCCCCTGTGTGTTTAAGCAGAAGCTCAAAAAAAACATTTAAGCTCAATATCCAGACAAGTTTGAAAACCACTCATTTAAACGGGAAATTTTAAGTTTTTCGAAAACACTAGTGATTTTTCAGTTTCCGCCTCGTCACAATTTAACATGTTCATATTACTAAAGCGTCTAAATAATCACAGGTCATTTTGTGTTTTTTTTTAAAAATCACACATCAACAAAAGAGAATCAAACGATTAGGTTAGAGATACCTGTCATGAAGATAATCAAGTCTCTGAAATGATCCTTTCGGTCAGTTGCACTTCACACATTCTCAGGCACTTCTCAAACCATACATAGTGTTGAACAATTTTTCATACTCTTTAGTATTCAGGTTCTGAACTTCTAGGACGTTGTATCAACAAAGACTTCCCACCATTTAGATCCAGACTATCTCTTTTAGAGATATACTCTTATAGATGCAATTTTTTTTTTGCCATCTACAGCGGAGTATTCAGAACTTTTTAGGAACATACTCAATCATCATGGTTTTCTTCTCAACTTGTTCCCATAGTAAATGATGTTGCACAAAATTCTTTGAGATATTAATGCCACTCATATCATCACATCGTGCAGTAAAAGAGGGTAAGTTGATACCGTAATCGAATAGCATCTGACGCATCCACAGAAGTTGAGTGCAACAGCTTCCCAAGACAATGTATTCTGCTTCGGCAGAAGTACTTCGTCGATCATCAGCATGATCTCCCAAGTCCGCATTACAGAATCCCACCAACTCGCAGCTAGAGTCCTTTGTGTAGTGCAATCCAAATTCCAGAGTTTTCTTCACATACTTACTGATCCGCTTAACCGCATGTTGCGTAGATTCTGTCTTTGAGTTGATCCAAGTGTAGCAGTTGTTGGAATTCCTCTTCCCTGTTAGGACACACTTGTTTTTCACATCAGACACGAAGCAAGCATTCTTCGTAAATTTCACTCTCATCCCATTGTCACATAGCTGACTAATACTGATGAGGTTGGCTTTCAGTCCTTGAACTACCTTGACGTCAGTCAGTTTGGGTAGCCCAGCATGATCCAGTGTTCCTTTACCCAAAATCTTTCCTTGTTTCCCATCACCAAATGTAACACTCCCTCCACTTGGTGTTTCAATGAACCCTTTCAACAGTGCTTGATTACCAGTCATATGCTTGGAACATCCACTGTCAAAGTACCAGATTCCAGTATCGTTGTTCTGCTCAGTAGTGTATGCCACATTGCACGCTAAATCTGATTTACGAACCCACCTGAGATTCCAAGGAGGATAAACATAGGATGGTGGTGGATACATGGAAATTCCTTTGTTTCTCCACAAATAGAAACAGTTACGTCTGAGATGTCCTTCTTTGCCACAGTGATAACAACTCCTATTTTCTCGACCTCTCCAATTAGTCTTTCTCACAAACTCTCGTGGGTGAGTACTACTTCGTTTGGTTGCAGGTGGCTCTTGACTCAAATT